GGGGTGGGGGCGGGGGGGCAGCCCTTCTCAGCTGGTACCACCCTCCCTCTCCCTTCAGGACCAGGAGATCAGTGTCAGAGAGCTGCAGACCATCCTCAACAGGATCATTAGCAAACGTGAGGGTCCCCAGCAGCTGCTCTCGCCCCATGTCCTGCCCCTCGTTGCCTTCAAGCATCGGAATCCAGGCCGTTGCCCCCACACTCAGCGGAACCCCACCCCTTGACCTACGGCTGGGGGGTCCACTCCCTTTCTGAGCCCAGCTCGCCACTGTTTCCATCCTGCCAAGCCCCGTTCCCCTGCTTGAGCTCTGTGTGCTGGTGGGATTTGGAGGACAGCCATGCTCCAGCACCAAGGGGAAGGCGCTCTTTCTTCCCAAGATGCACCCCAGGCCAGGCCCAGTGGCCCGGGGAGCAGAGCACAGCTGGCTGCACCTGCTGGAGCCCACGCTGGAGCCCACGGTAGAAGGCAGTGGCTGGCCCGCAGCCTGGCTGCAGGGGGCCTGGTGCCTGGGTCCCTGCGCTTCCCTGTATCCAGAACCCCTTTCCCTCCCACTTTCTAGCAACCTCTGCTGACCTCCGGGGCCTGCAGCAGACCCCACCTTGCTCTTTCTCTCCACTTTCTTCCTCTTCTGCTCATCATCATGGGACGATCACTGGGTGCCCATGGGCTTTGGGGACACCAGCCTGACTGCTAAAACACTTTGCCCTGGTTTATCTGATGATGAAGCCACCACACCCCACTCACTCTGCTGGCCTCTGTACCCACGGGCGACACCAGTGCCTCCCTGCCTCTGAATGCCCAGTGCTCCCAGTGTGGGGAGGGCACAGGAAGCTCAGCAGGTTGAGGGGCCGGAACTGGTTTTTCTTGCAGACAAAGACCTTCGGACCAAGGGCTTCAGCCTGGAGTCGTGCCGCAGCATGGTGAACCTCATGGACGTATCCTTCAGTCCGTCTGCTGTTGTTTGGAGTCAGGGAATACGGGCACCAGAAAGTGGCTGGGTGAACTGTCCCAGGAATGCCCAGAGAATAGACAAAGCTGGGGGGTATGTGGACACCCCAATGCCCATGTTCAAAGCCTTCCTGGGAGGGGGAGACTGAGGCCCAGTCTTGAGTCAGGTGGAAGCAAAGCCTGGGTCCACAGCTGACCCTAAGGCTGAGCTTTTTCTGCACCCTCCCCCGCCCAGTTGAACACAGCCAGCCTGGTTATGGCTCCCCCCAGTCACCTTGCCTTCTCTTGGCCAGTCTCCCCTTCCCCCAGTGTCCCCTCCCACGCCAGCTCTAAGCCGTGGAGCTTCCTTCTTAACAACCACCCAGCGCGACGGCAACGGGAAGCTGGGCCTGGTGGAGTTCAACATCCTGTGGAACCGTATCCGGAACTACCTGGTACGTGCCCCCGGCAGATCCTCGCCTTCCCCTTGCAGCCTCGGTCACTGCAGGAGCAGGCCAGGGGACAGCCCTCCGCAGAGGTTCTGCCACTGCCGGCTCTTTCCCACCCCTGAGCCCACACGTCCCAGCAGCCCACCCCTTGTGGGCTCCTCCCCTCCGTGTCCCCTTCAGCAACCCTGGGGGTGGGCAGGAAGAGCCGGGTGACTCACTGGTCCCCACCCTCTGCCCCCACCCAGTCCATCTTCCGGAAGTTTGACCTGGACAAGTCGGGCAGCATGAGCGCCTACGAGATGCGGATGGCCATCGAGTCTGCAGGTGAGGCCCAGGGCAGCCCCTACCCCTGGCCCTCCTCCCTAGGTGGTGACACAGTGCTGTGGGGATGTGGTCCCACCATCTTTGGCCTTTCCCCCATGGTTTCTAAGTGCGTTATCAGCATATCTGTCCTTTCTTCCCACTGCAGCCAAGAGAGGACAGAGTCTCTTGTTACCCCTGTTGGGCATGTGAGGAAAGTGAGGCTCCAAAGGAAAAGTGACCGGCCTTAGGACACAGTGCCAGGGAGGGCAGAGCCAGGCTTCAGGCCTCCTGTGAGAGCTGCCTGAGGACAGGCCGGGGCATCAGAACCACCAGACCACACCCCTCTTTGGCCAACTCCTGATTCTCTGGCCTGACCTGGGCTGGGCGTGCCCCCTGAGACTGGTCTTTACTTGCCCAGCCCCTCCCAGTCCCTGGCCCTGCCCAGAGGTCCTTGTGCCCCTTGTCCCTGAGGAGAGAAGGCCCACCCTTCCCTGTCTCCTGGCCGGGCTGCGCCTCCCCGGCCCTCACCTGCTTCTCTCCACAGGCTTCAAGCTCAACAAAAAACTGTACGAGCTCATCATCACGCGGTACTCCGAGCCTGACCTGGCCGTGGACTTTGACAACTTCGTGTGCTGCCTGGTGCGACTGGAGACCATGTTCCGTGAGTGTCCCAACAGGCTCCTCCCTCCAGCTGTGTCCCAGATGCGTCCCTTGTGAGCTGGTGGGAACGGATGATGGCGGTGCAGAGCAGTACCGCTCGCAGGAGCGGGAGGCTGAGATCTGGGGCCCACGAGGGCCCTGTCTTTGGTCACCCAGAGGCTGAGTGCATGGAGAGCAGGGAGGGAGGGCAGGAAGAGCCCCTTCCTACTTCAAGGGGTGACAGCTTGGGGCGGTAGGGGGAGAGGGGGTCAGGCAGGCTTGGCTGTGCACAAAGTTCTCAGGCCCGTGTCATCTTTTCTTGAACACACAGGGTTTTTCAAAACTCTGGACACAGATCTGGATGGAGTCGTGACCTTTGACCTGTTTAAGGTGGGACTCTCCCTGGGTCGGGGGAAGGTTCGAGGCAGTGTTTTCTTTCCTGACTCCTGTTCTCCTGTCCCTTCCTGGGCCTTGGAGCCAGCCTTCAGGAAGGGGCAGCCTGAGTCCTGGGAGCTGGTGTGGGGGTGTCTGGATTCTGGGGCAGGAGCCGTGGGGGTGTTGCCTCAGTGGGACCAACAGCTCTATCTCCCAGAGATAGAGGAAGTGAGGAAACAGTTCCCCAGGAGCGAACCTCAGAAGTGGTAAAGAGATGGCTTCTGAGCCGTGGGGTCGGGGCATGGACATAGGGGTCCAGGTAAGGAGGGAAACTCAGGCAGCCCATTCCACAGCCCTGGCCCAGCGGCCTTCCCTCCTTCCGCAGTGGTTACAGCTGACCATGTTTGCATGAGGCGTGGGCCCAGCGCCTGCTGCTCCCTTCTTCCCTCGTCTGTCAAGCCGCGTCTTCCGGGTCGGGTCTTCCCACCATGCCACAGCAGGTCACGCCAGCCGCACATGCCTTCCTTGGAGCAAGAAGGCGCCTTGGTCCTCTTGCCCCCTCCTCCCAGCCTCCACTGCTCACCAGCTCTGGGCAGAGCTGTGTGGCTCTCCCTCTGTCCCCAGCCAGGGGCTCACGATGGACTCCCCTGGGCCCGCCGTTTCCCATGGCCAAGCCAGGAGGGCAGCTTTCTGCTTATTCCTGCCTCAGGGCTGGGTGGCCAGGGAGCCACGATCCCAGCCCCACTCCTCCAGCCCCACTCCTCCAGCATCCTCATGTGTCCCCTGTCTTCACTCCAGAGGCCACCCCCGGCCCCACCCGCCTGGCCTCACCTGCTGACTTTATAACCACTATCTCTGCAACCTGCACCCTGGGTGTCAGGCATGCAGGTCCCCTTCCTGCTGGGGGAGCCCCTGGGCTGGGATCTCCTGTGCCTTCTGTGCAGAAGCCAATGCCTGCAGCCTGCGCCTCCCAGCCCTGCCCACCAGGAGCCAGCCTGGAGGGTGGTCAGGCCTTCCCCCCTCCTCCTGTCCTTTTTTTATATTGACAATTTTAAAGGGGACTCTTCAGGGACTGGGGGATTGGTTATGTGATACAGAGGCACTGGGCGTGGGATAAGGAGGTCCCATGTTTCCACACACAGGAACCCCAAATAATAAAGGAAAAGGCCCCATATCTGTCTCTGGAGTGTGTTTCTCCCCACTCTGCTGCTGGGAGGGCGGCAGGAAGCCTTAGCAGGGGGCCAGCTCCTGGCCTCAAGCTCACCCATTGCTGGAGTGAGTGCAGGGCATCCGAGTGGGGTCACCTATGGCCCTGGGAGGCCAGGGAGGATAAGGCCCAGGGCCTGGCACAGGGACAGGGCTGCACTGTGAAGCCTAGAGGCCTGACCCTTGCCTTACCTTCATAAATCCACCAGGCCAGTTTCCGCTGAAACCCAAACCCATACTTAGCACAAACCTCACCCCCCAGGGAGCTGCACAGAGCCTCCTTCAGGTCCTCTGGGGTTGGGGTGGGGTCTCTCCTGTGACCCACACACCTGTAGCTTATATAAGCTGCTCCGGCACCTCTGGGATGCTGCTGTTCTTCCCAGAGTTAAGAGTGGGGAGAGGGGACAGCCACCAACTAGCACTGACTGCAGGGTGCAGACGGAGACTGCCCCAGGGCGCAGGGTGAGGGAGCAAGAAGTCGGCTGCCTCCAGCTACTGTGGGGTGGAGAGGAAGAGGAGGCATCGGCAGGTGTCACCTGCTTCTCGACTGCTCCTGGGCCAGTCCTCCTGGATGTCTGTCCTCATCACTGAGATGCGGGGGCTGCCGAGGTGGGAGGTCTCTGGGCCCACCCTGCTCAGCCCTCCATGGTTCTCTGTGTTGGGCTTCACTTGTTATAGGGGTTGCGACACTGTGGTTCTGGGTCATCTGGGGACCTAACTTCAGAGACCCCAAGTTTGAGGCTGAGACTGCGCCTTCCTCTTGACTCCCCTATTTGGGCTTTATTTTATTTTTGGTACTGGGGATGGAACTCCAGCCCTTTTGATTCTTTGAGACAGGGTCTCGCTGAGTTGCCCAGGCTGGCCTTGAGTTTACAATCCTCCTGGTTCAGCCTCCCGAGTCTCTGGGGCTACAGACGTTCGCCACCGCACCCAGCTCTATTGGGGCATTTTTTAAAAAAATACTTATTTTTTAGTTGTAGTTGGACGCGATACCTTTATTCTATTTATTTATTTACATGGTGCTGAGGATCGAACCCAGGGCCCTGCACATGCTAGGCGAGCGCTCTACCGCTGAGCCCCTGCCCCAGCCTGGACCTTCCCCGTGCAGCCAACTCCCTGACTCTCACGGAGTGGGGGAAGGGCGGGCAGCCATAATTACTGTCACACCCTTATTTGTGACTCTGACAGTTCCGACCGTGGTTTGAAACACAGTGACAAGACCTTGGTCCAGAAGCGAGGGTGCAGGTGGGCAGGGGGAGGGGCAGGGCGCTGGGCCTGGTTTGGCTGTGCTGGGAGGCGGCTTTCTGGGACTCCTCACCTGTCTAACTCGGAAGGTGAGAGATGGAGGGAGGCAGGAAGACAGGCCCAGGGGCGGGGACCCCGCAGATGTGGGGACACTCAAGACTTCCAGTGAGGTGTAACCAGACTCCTCTGAGCTGCCCTGTGTCCGTCTTGGTCCTCACCCCTGGCCTGGTCCTCCGCCCCCAGAGCCCCTCCCCTGTCCCTTTACATAAGGCCTGGGGCAGGCTGGGCCTCGGGTCAGGCCCGCGGCCATGGCCTTCACGGACCTGCTGGACACCCTGGGCGGGGTGGGCCGCTTCCAGCTCGTCTACACGGCCCTGCTGCTGCTGCCCTGTGGCCTGCTGGCCTGCCACAACTTCCTCCAGAACTTCACGGCCGCTGCGGTCCCCCATCACTGCCAGCTTCCCGCCAACCGCACAGGGGCCACCACCAACGACTCGGGGGCCTGGCTGAGGGCCACCATACCCCTTGACCAGCACGGGGTCCCTGAGCCATGCCAGCGCTTCACAGAGCCTCAGTGGGCCCTTCTGAGCCCCAACACTTCGGTCTACGGGGTGGCCACCGAGGACTGCAAGGACGGCTGGGTCTATGACCGCAGCGTGTTCCCGTCCACCATCGTGATGGAGGTCAGAGGGAGCCGTGTGGGGCGGGGGGCTGCTACCTCAGGCCAGGGCTCAGTCTCCCACTCTCCTCGCAGTGGGATCTGGTGTGTGAGGCCCGCACCCTCCGTGACCTGGCTCAGTCCATCTACATGGCTGGGGTGCTGCTGGGGGCCGCCGTGTTTGGCAGCCTGGCGGACAGGTGAGCTTCTGGTGTGAGTGTCCCTACCACCAGTGACGGTCTCTGTGTTTTTTTCTTTTTCTCCCCCCCCCCACCCCGAATCAGGATTGAACCCAGGGGCACTTAGTCATATCCCCAGCCCCTTTTAAAATATATTATTTAGAAATGGTCTCGCTGAGTTGTTTAGGGCCTCCCTGCTGAGGCTGGTTTTGAACTCTTGATCCTCCTGCCTTAGCCTCCAGAATCGCTGGGTGTGTGCCATGGTGCCCTGCTATGCTAACATTTTTTTTTGCAAAAGTTTACTCATATTTTCAATGGATAATGCATAAATGCATTTACATCCTTCAAAATCCCAAAAGATACAAAAGAGCATGCAGAAAGCAAGCTTTCCCATCTCGCCCCATCGCTCCCAGTTTCTACATCTCCAATTAGAGAGATCTTTATTTCTGTGTGTGTGTGTGTGTGTGTGTGTGTGTGTGTGTGTATGTGTTGTGCTGGTGTTTAAACCCAAGGCCTCACACATGCTAGACAAGCACTCTACCACTGAGCTACAACCCCAGCCTCTATTTTCATTTCTAAATTTTTCATTAAGTTTTATAATTTGGGAGCTGGGGTTGTGGCTCAGTGGAGGAGCACTTGCCTAGAATTCGTGAGGCACTGGGTTCCATTTTCAGCACCACATAAACAAAATAAAGGTCCATTGACAATAAAAAAAAAAGACATTTTTAAAAAATTTTATGATTTTTGATGCACACATGTACATAGCCATGGGTTACAAGGTGCTGTTCAGGGCAAGTCTATGATGTGTAATGATCGAATCAGGGTGGTCGGTGTATCTATCACCTTAAACGTTTACCACTTGTTTGTGGTGAGAACTTTCAAAATTCCCTTTTCTGGCCATCCTTCCTCGAGACATTTTGAGGCTTTATGCAGTCGGTCAAATCAGTATATGTGCTTGCCCCTTCCTTTTCATGCTGGGTAAGGATGGAACTCAGGCCCCTGCACATGCTGGGAGAGCCGCACCCCCAGCCTGCTCCCCCAACCCCGCGCAAGTGCTGGGACACTCCCCACAGGCTCTAACCCCCACTTTGTCTTCACTTTGGAGGCTTCTCCATATTCCTTTGGAAAAGCGATGCTGTCCTCTCTCACGTCCACACAGCATCCTGTGTACAAATGAACCAGAACTCACCCCCACGGAAAGACTGTGAGACAGAGCGGGCCTGGCTTTGAAGAAGTCCAGCTCCCTCACCTCCCCTTCCCGCCCCTGCCCCTCTTCCCTCCGTTCCGGTTGGTGGGGAGGCCCTCCCAGACTCCAAGCTCATCCCCTCAACCCCTCATCACACCTGGTCTGTCGACTTGGGAACTTGTATCCTATCCGGAGGGCTTCCTTGTCTCCAGCCCTCAGCTCAGGCCTGTGCCTTAGAGATGCTCAATGAGCAGTTGTAGAAGAAGGAAGGAAGGAAGGAAGGAAGGAAGGAAGGAAGGAAGGAAGGAAGGAAGGAAGGAAGGAAGGAAGGAAGGAAGGAGTGTACGTGTCATGGGTGTGTGGGGAAGAAACGCTGTCCACACCTTCTTGGTCTGCTGCCCTCCTGGACAAGTAGGGCTGAGCACTCTGGCCCTGGTACCTCATATGCAATGGGGTGACATAACCCTTCCACCCTGGCCTTGGACTCCTCCTGCCTCCTATGGCAATCAGCTCCCCTGAAGACTCCATGCTGGGTGCTGCCCCCACAGCCTGGGTCTGGCCAGGGCTCATCTCCCTGTGAGTGCTGGTCAGAGGCCTCCTTCCAGCCAGAGCCACACCCGGGGACCCCCTCCCTACCCACACACCTACCTCTGGGTCTCTGCAGAATCTCTGCCTTTCCCGGGCCTGGAATAAGTCTCTTCATCTCCAATTTTCTTCCAATGGTGTCCCTCCGGCGACCCGTGCCTGGGTCCCAGCTGTTGCCCTTCCGTTTTGAGGGGTGGGTTTCACAGGCACCCCGGCTTCCCTGTGGCTGATTTCCCCTTACCAGAGTGGAAGGCCTGGGCACTGACTGTCGGGGATGCCGCTGCTGCTCCTGAAGCCTAACGCTTTGTCCATTCCCTGGGCTCAGGCTGGGCCGCAAGGTCCCCCTGGTGTGGTCATACCTGCAGCTGGCAGTGTCAGGGGCCGCCACGGCGTACATCGACTCCTTCAGCGCCTACTGCGTCTTCCGGTTCCTGATGGGCATGACCTTCTCTGGCATCATCCTCAATTCGCTGTCGCTGGGTGAGTTCAGCCGCGGAGCAGCCTGGACGGCTGGGGCTGGAGGAGAAGGGGAAATGGCAGCCCCAGCTTTCTTATTTCCTTTGGCTGGAGTTCTCCTCCAGGGGCCTCAGCTCAGAACACCACCAGGTTCTAGGCCTAGGAGACGGTTCTTGCAGACCTTGGACCTGCCCACAGCCCGGGGTCCCCTGGCAGCTTTGTCCTTGGTCTGGGGTTTCATTTCCTCCTCTGTGAACCGAGAGGGTCGGCTTATTTCATTTGTGAGTTGATCGACAATAACCTCTTACTAAGTGCCCGTTGCATACCAGGCTTAGTGTGGTGACTGGGGTGACCGGGACACGGAGGGCAGTGGGACAGGATGCTCTCCAGAGCTGCAGACAGCCCTGAAATCGTGCAGCCCTTATAAGGGTGGGGTTTACCCGGGCTGCTGGTGGCTTCTCTCAGCTGAGGCATAAGGATGGCAAGTTTGAATCCCACCTCAAAATAAAAAATGAAAAGGGCTGGGGATGGAGCTCAGTGGTGGAGCTTTCCTGGGTTCACTTCTCAGTACTGGAAAAGCAAACACTTGTGGTTTCTTAGCTCCATGGTGGGGATCTGGCTTGTTGGATGCCAGGGAGGAGTGTTACCTCCCTAGTGACAAGTGGCAGGACCAGTCCTCAGCGCAGGCTGGGATTTCCTGGGTGGTCTTGGTGGACAAGTTCACGGGATAGTTGGAAGCCCACCTGAACATGGGCTGACATGGGCTTGAGCTTCACTTAAGTTCCTTACCTTGCTCAGAAACTGCCACCAGCCTCAGCCATCCAATGACAGGATGGGATTTTAATTTCAGGGATGGAGAAGCAGTTTGGGGGTTGGAAGACACAGCAGGCTGGTACACCTGCCTCTCCCAGTATCAGGACAATGAGGGGCACCAAGCACACAGTAGGATCTCAGCAAAGCCCCACAATACCTACATTCACACGCACACACACACACACACACACATACACGTATCAGACACACGTGCACACATCAGACACTGCTGCAGGCTGGGAACTCTGTCCTTGGGCAGCTTAGTCTGCAAGGAAGTCTTTTTTGAGACTCAGTTGGGTGTTCCAGAGCCTCCTTAACAGGTCACACCTTGCCCCTGGATTGTGCCACAAAAGTGTGATGACTCTTAACATCTGCCCCTGGATCGTGCCACCAAAGTGTGAGGACCCTCACGTCTCCTTCTGTCTCCCCTCTTTGTTATTATGCACACCATTCTGCCCTTTTTACTTTTTCCAGTGCCCAGGGTGGAACTCAGCTCCACCCCAGCCCCTCTTCTGCATCTCGAGTCTTTCACTTAGCAATGCCACCACTGGCTCGTTTGTTGATGCCTCCCGGGGGACCCCGTGGCCACTTGAAGGACTTTGGCTTTAATTCCAAATGAGGCAGGAGACCCTGGAGGATTCTGTGCTGAGTGGAGCCCTGACCTGATTTAGTGTTTGAGGTTTGACAGGATCCCTCTGGCAGATGCCATTTGGCACCAGAACCGACGCAGGGAGTCCAGAGAAGAGGCCATTGCCCTCATCCCAGCAAGAGCCAAGGTCGAACCAGGCCAGAGGGTGGCAGCAGAGCAGATGAGAAGAGCAGACGGTGGCTGAACTCTGAAGGCAGAAACATGATTTGCTTTGCGGGTGGATCACACAAACGGGCTCATTTCTCCCTGGAAAGAAGTCTCCTCATTAATCTGTCGTGGATGCCTTGGAAGGATGTATCGCGATTTATTTAACAGTCCCACAGACAAGTGGCAGGCTCAGGTTTAGGTTTTATCCAATTCGCTTCCTGGAAGGTAGGCACACGCTCTACCACTGAGCTATGCCCCCAGCTGGGTCGACCGTGTTTTGATAGCACCATGAACCACTCTATTTCCTCTGTGCCAGCCATTCACATCCCTTGCCCATTTCCCTTCAGGCTTGCTGGTAATTTTCCTATTGATTTGTACGAACACTTCCAATATTAGAGAAATAGCCTCTTATCTGTTGAGTTGCAAATATTTTTAACTTTTTTTTCTTTTGCCAATGCTATGACTTTGCTTATTGTGTTTTATGTTGTTTATTTCTATTTAGACATTTCTTTTTTTATGAATTCAGATTTGTTTAACCTTAGCCTTCATTTGATTCCTTCTGATTGTGAGTTTCTCAGAATTTTGAGATATATATATATATATAATCTAACCGTGAGTTCTAGCATTCTTGTGGTTTTATTGTTTACATTTAGTAATTTGATCCCCCCCCCCTCGGGACACTTTGGCCTGAGTCTCAATGGGTCTTGGCGTGAGTTTACCGCCATCAAGAGGCCGCGGGAGTTACGCAGCTCAGGCAGGCTCCCGAGCGCACTGCTGTTTCCTCTGCAGTCGTGGAGTGGATGCCCACCCGGGGCCGGACTGTGGCGGGCATCTTGCTGGGCTTCTCCTTCACCGTGGGTCAGCTCATCCTGGCTGGCGTGGCCTACCTGATCCGCCCCTGGCGGTGGCTACAGTTTGCGGTCTCAGCTCCCTTCCTGATCTTCCTCCTCTATTCTTGGTATGTCCCGCAGGAGTGAGGAGGAGGGGAGAGGGCAGGAGTGAGGAGGAGGGAAGAGTGCGCCCGCCCGGGGACGGGACACTCACCTGGCCCCGCAAGAGGTCGGGATGGGAGAGGCTGGGGTTTGCTGGACCTGGTGGGGACACAAGGGACAGAAAGTGCTCAGGAGGACCACACACTCCTGAGTACTCTCAGGTGGCTTTCAGAAGGTCCAGTAAAACCCCTTCTTTAGCTCTGGGACATGTCAATCATTTTGTCTTTCAACTCCTCTGTGCCTCACAACAGCCCCATGACATTTTATAAGAGGGAGGCTAAAGCACAGCCCAGAGAGGGATCATGATGTAGTAAAGGCCACATAGCGAGGGATCAGAAACAGATTCAGAGTCAGGTGTGGTGGGCGCAGCTCAGGAGGCTGAGGCAGGAGGATCACAAGTTCAAAGCCAGCCTCACTAACTTAGCGAGGATCTAAGCAATTTAGCAAGACCTTCTCTCAAAATAAAAAATAAAATGAATTTGGGATGTGGCTCAGTGGCTAAGCGCCCCTGGGTTCAATCTCTGATGCTCTGCTCCCCCCCAAAAAAAGACAGAGAAAGATTGAATACTGAGTCCACTGGAGTCTCTAAGGACCCTTCAGTGATTCTCTTTATTACAGAAAAGGGAAGGTGACATGTCTTCCAGTCTTCTTGGTTCTGAGACGAGGGACATTGCACCCTTTTTTTAGGATCTGAGAGAAGGTGGATGCGGGTGTAATTGGGTTTGGGAAATGGAATGAGCTCCACCCAGCTCTGGGCCTTCTGCATCCTTCTCTCCCTCCCAGGTGGCTGCCAGAGTCATCCAGATGGCTCCTCCTTCACGGCAAGTCCCAACAGGCCCTGCGGAACCTGCAGAAGGTGGCCGCCATGAATGGGAGAAGGGCCGAAGGGGAAAGGCTGACCAAAGAGGTGAGTGGGGAGGCGGGAGCAGGCCTGGGAAAGACCTTCCAGTTCGTGGCCGCCTCTGCCACCTTCCCAGGACTCGGCCGCCATCCAGGCGGAGAGTTCTCGTGTGGGAAAGATGTCCTTTAAGCACCGAACGGCTGTGTGATCTGGGGCGAATGATTTAGCTGCTTCTCTCATTGGTCTATCCACCTGTGCAATAAGGAAATAACCTTCACGTTGACCTCCAGTCAAAATTTAATAAAAGCAAACAACTTAAGATAACAATCACAAAATAAAATTGTTGGAGAATCGATAACAAGAGCACCATTTATCACACACTCCATTCTTCAGAAGGTAGTTATCATTCATTAACAGTACTGGCTGTTTAGTAAGCCCTGTGGGAGGAACTCTGCTGACAGCTTCTTGTAAGTCCTCTCACTTAATGCCTCGTTGGTGCCAAGGAGGAACTGAAGCTTGCGGCTCAGGTAATCTGCCTAAGACACACAGCGGGAAGTGACTCAGAACCTCTGCTTTCAACCACCTCCTGACACTGTCCCAGGAAAGTGGGGAGCTGAAACTCCAAACCTCAGCTCTTGTGTCCCGCCGACCTCAGACAGCAAAAGCCATGCCAGAGAACTTCATGATAGGTGAAGTGAGGCGGGAGTAAAGTAAAGGAAAAGTGAGGCTTCAGCAAAAAGCACTCTCGAGGGAGAGATGGGCCTTCTCCAAACAGAGAATGGCAAAGGAGACAAAGGTGTCCCCAATTTTATTATTGTTTTATTACATTAAACAGTAACAAAATTCGACCTTAGTCGGTCCTCTCTGGAACTGTCACGGTGGCCATCCTTTCTGGGCGACTTCATCCACAAGTCAATCCCATGTTAATGGGGACACTGGGGTCAGAAGTCACCTTATTGCGCCTGCGTTACTAAAGGACTCTTCCTCCCCAGACACGGGGAGACACCTTTAGCCATAATTCCCAGCTTCATGTCAACATCAGAGGACCCTGTCAAGAGTCAGTCCCATGAATCCTTTTCTCTTGACATATTTCCCGATTAGCTCCTTTTGCTTCCAGTTCTTTTCTACAAATTAACTACCACCTTTGCTCTCTTGTCTACTTTGGAAGTAGCTTAAAGAAGGACCCCAAAAGTCATTTAAAGACCACTTACGACCTTGCCTACACTTGACTGCTCATTGCTAGCTTCTACCTAACAACACTATCTCCAAGTCTACACCAGGAAAGGTATGGACAGACTCCCAGACCCCAGAGCCAGGAGGGTGGAGCACATGTTGAAACCTGTGCCTCATCTCAAAGCCCTGGAGCCACTATCTTGCCAGGGGTCCCAACAGTTGTGTGGTGGGCGCACACCTGTAATCCCAGCAGCTCAGGAGGCTGAGGCAGGAGGATCACAAGTTCAAAGCCAGCCTCACCAACTTAGCGAGGGCCTAAGCAACTAAGCAAGACCTTCTCTCAAAATAAAAAATAAAATGAATTTGGGATGTGGCTCAGTGGCTACGTGCCTCTGATAACCGCCCCCACACACAAAATGGAGGTGTTCCCAGCAGGGACAGGAGGTCCTGGATCCTTTGCTGCCACTGATCACACATTCCTCACCCAGGTGGTGAGCTCCTACATCCAGAGCGAGTTTGCAAGCGTCCGCACCTCCAACTCTATCCTGGATCTCTTCCGAACCCCGGCCATCCGCAAGGTCACATGCTGTCTCATGGTGGTCTGGTAGGTGAGGGGCTCATTCCAAGACTTTGACCTGAGGCAGGAACGTGCCTTTTTCTCCCACTCACAAACTCTGTCCTGAAATATTCCCAACGCAACGAGCAGGTGAGCTTTGCAAAGCCAGTCTCATCCCACCCCCCCCCATTTCTGATGGAGCTCTCTGCTGGGTGCTAAGGTAGAGTGATAGATGAGACATTGTGTTGGTGAAGGGGGCAGGTCTCCTCTGAGGGTAGGGGTGAGTGCCACTGGAATCTCACAGGCAGCTTTTCCAGAATGGACCTTGCACTATCCCTTTGGGCTCTCTAGGGAGATTTTGGGAGGATTCTAGGGGATTCTGGGAGGTGGCAGGGGATTCTGGGGAGAGTCCATTCTGAAAAAACACTTCCAAGTGCAGGAGGGAACAGCTAGAGAAACCATGATGTCCATGCAATGTGACAAGTATCCAAACAGCAGTTCTGCTCATGGCTGCAGAGGGCTTCACACAGCAGTTGGCCTTCTAGTGGTGGTTAATCAAGTTTGCCAGGTGGGCAAAAAGAAATTCCAATAGATACGTTGCCATGAAGAAGAGAAATGGATAAGAATATAAAGGTGGGCTGGGGAGTAGCTCAACGGTAAGTATGCCCCTGTCTTTAATCCCCAGGACCATCACAAAACAAAACAAAAAATCCACATCTATTATTTGAAATATAGTCCCTTCCATACTCAAAGGAAGGGCATTAAGTTCTACCTCCTGAAGGGTAGAGTCTGGCTGAAATTACCTTCACCCAAATGTTTGCATCTTTTCTGTAAAACAGGGGTTTCTAAAAATTATTTTAACTTTTTTAATCATTCTTTTTTAAAATTTTTTTAAGTTGTTGATACAGCCCCAGCCCCAGCCCTATTTTAACTTTAATTTATTTGTTTGTTTGTTTGATTGTGCAGCACTGGGATCAAACCAGGACCCAGTGCGTGTTAGGCAAGCATGCTACCAGTGAGCCATATCCCCCGTCCAGATTTGTTCAATCATTTACTTAAATAGATTCATATATGTGTCATTTACACCTTGGATTCTAATTTAGTAACATTATTTATTTTGTTTAATAAATACTATATTATTTACTTTCCTTCTCTGTTCTGGCTTTGGCCACTGGGAGCTTGTTGTCATAGGCTCCTATGTCCTTCACTTACCTCCATCTCCTTCTGTCTTTATTTTTTTAGCACTGCTTTAACTTCAGTGCTAAGTGGTGCTGACAGGAAACCAAATGCACTCCACGGTCCATGGATGGGACTCAGGGGAGTGAGTGTTAGGAAGAGATGATGGGTGAAGTCTGGACTCCAAGGCCAAAGTCAGAGACTTATGAGACCAGGAAGGGTTTCTAACTCTCCCAGGAGAGGAGTCCTATGTTAACCATCCTGTGTCCCCTGTCCTGGGCCCAGGACAGTGAAATGGTGGAACAGGATCGTTCTGCCACCTTTGCCAGGTTCTCCAACTCTGTGGCTTACTACGGCCTGGCAATGGACTTGCAGAAGTTTGGGCTCAGCATCTACCTGGTACAGGCTCTGTTTGGTATCATCGACATCCCAGCCATGCTGGTGGCCACCACCACCATGATTTATGTGGGCCGCCGGGCCACAGTGGCCTCCTTCCTCATCCTGGCTGGGCTCATGGTCATTGCCAACATGTTTGTGCCTGAAGGTAAGCCATAGCTTGTGCCTGTGCTGCTCTCTGGGATACTGCCCACACAGGTTCCTGGAGAACTGGGAGCCCCTGGGATCTTGTGGGCAACGTGTACCATGAGAGAACAAGGCTGAGAGGTAGTTTTTGGATCTGGGGGAAATGTGCCTAAGGATTAATGGAGTTTGTTAAGCACTTAGTGCCTAGTGTCAGTGCAGGAAGAAGATCCACCAAGGTCATGAGTCTGCCCTTGAATCAAGGACAATCTTGACAGCAAGACCAGACAAATGCATATAAAGCCACTGGAGAGCCAACGTGGTGACTTCCTTATGCCACTGATGTGTGTGTCCACTCGGAGCAGGCAGCCTGTCCATGGGTTGAAAAGTTAGGACTTGAACCTCAGCCAGGCTGGTCTGGAACAATGGTTCACACAGCTGGCTAAAATCACCTTCCCCCAGAGAAAAATCCCAGAGCCCTGGTGCTCCACACCATGAAGAGGGACTCTCAAACCCTCAGTACTTAAAAAGCTGTTCAGTGACTTCAGCAAGAAGCCAGGATTGACTATCTGGGATCTAGAACATGTGCCAAACTATGTGCCCAGGTGTGACCACAGCTTTGCCACCACAGCCTGGGGCAGGTCGTCCAACTTCTCTGGGCTCTGGTTCCTCACCCATAAAATGGACAGGTGTTATTGTTAGTATTTTGGGACATTTTCATCCAATCATTTTTCCTATTTATAGATTTTGTATTCTACATAATTGAGACATCATTTATATATACATATATATGTAACGCAATAATGCCAATAGGATTATCTATATGTGTACATGTACATTGATAAAGTATATATATATATATATATATATATATACACACACATATATTATATCCTTTTCCATTATATATTAAAAACATCCTTTTCCATGTTAGTACAACATTTCGTGGGCTTGACTTTTTTTATTAGTTTATATTTTATTGAGATTGGTGTTTTTCAACTCTGGATGCATATTAGAATTAGATATTAAAAAATATCCAAACTTGAGGCTTTGATATAATGGATGTGGAGCAGGGCCCCAGGCGTGGGTGTTTTATGGAATATCCCCACGAAATTCCAGTGTGCAGCCTGGGCTGCCACCAATCCAAAGGCAGTACCTTAATTTCTTTGACCATTACCCTCATACAGGACATTCAAATTGGGGTTTTGCAATGTATAAACAGCAGTTGAGGACAGGGAGGCTAGGAGATGATAACAGTGACCAAGTCACTCCATTGGGTCAGAGCTGTGGACTAAACTCAGGCCTGACTCCAAAGCTTATCTCCAGTAGATCTTGATGACAGATACAAACAAGAGAGGAAGGAGAGCCAGGGTGCAGTGGCACATGCCTGTAATCCCCTGTAGCTCCAGAGGCTGAAGCAGGAGGATTGTGAGTTCAAAGCCAACCTCAGCAAATTAGCAAGGCCCTAAGCAGCTCAGCCAGACCCTATCTCTAAATAAAAATATAAAAAGGGTCTGGGGATGTGGCTCAGTGTTTAAGCACCCCTGGGTTCAATCCCCAGTACAAAATAGAGAGAGAAAGACACATGGGGTGGGGGTGGGGCGCAGAAGTCAGAGAAGGGCAGTTTGGGGACTTCCAGGTGCCAGTTGGGCACTGAGGTAATAGAAATACAGGCTCCTGCCTTGATGCACCTGTGTCCCCCTCATCCCTGCGTAGGCCCCTGAACTTCACCCTCTGCCTCTTTCTCCTACTCTTGGCATCCCCCCAGCCTCCCACCACATTCCCCTGCCACCCCCTGTTCCCACACTCAGCCTCCCTTTGTCCCCCTTAGACATGCAGGCCCTGCGCACCGCCCAAGCAGCTCTGGGCAAGGGCTGCCTGGCCAGCTCCTTCATCTGCGTGTACCTGTTCACGGGAGAGCTGTACCCCACCGAGATCAGGTGGGTGTTGGGAGGAGAGGCCCGGTGCAGAGCTCTCTGCCCAGACACCCAGGGCCCAGCCCGGAGAGTGCAGGCGTGTGCTGAGTCCTCCCTCCCACAGGCAGATGGGGATGGGCTTCACCTCCGTCAACGCCCGCCTGGGGGGCCTGGCTGCGCCCCTGGTCACCACGCTCGGGGAGATCAGCCCGGTCCTGCCGCCCTTGGGTTTTGGCACCACCTCGATTCTAGCAGGCCTGGTTGTCCTCTGCTTCCTGACCGAGACCCGCAACGTGCCCCTGGTGGAGACCATCGCTGCGATGGAGAGGAGGTGAGCCAGCGGCCGGGCACGGCGGGTGCGAGGCCAAGCAGGCTGTGGTCACCGGGACACAGCAGGGGAGCAGGCGCAGTCCTCCCTGCCTTGGTCTTCCGTGGCTTAGCTTTCGACAGGAGCGAGCCCAACAAGGACCATAAAAGAGAAAGAAGGGGGCTGAGGGCAGCTCAGCAAAGAGCCGCGCCTGCCGCCGCCCGAGTTCCCTGCATAGCACCGCAAAAAAGAGAAATAGACCAAAGACCCAGAGACTTGGAAATGAAGCCTGGTAGAGAAATGGGGAGAGGAGAGAGAGGCAAGTGCAATTTGAAGCAAAGTCAGATGGTTGCAGGGTTGTGAACTGGGCCCTGCGTTTCTGAACAACAGAAAGGGGGACCCTGTTGGGGGGAAGAGAATACCAGCTCCCCAGGGTAAGTAAAGCTCCCCTCTGTGTTAGGCTGCAGGAAATGTCTCTCCTGGGCCTCCTTAGAGAGGTTACCGAGCTAGGTGACAGCAATGTCCTGGACAATAAGTGCAAGAGGGGATCCCATCTGGCTGTTCCTGAGTGAGGCATTTCTCAGTCACAGCGTGCTCAACGAAGACCCTTAATTTTGAAAAGCAGGGACAGGGGTGCAAGACACATCACTTTTCCCTGAAGCACTTGCGAAAAAGTTGCTGGCGTTCCTTCCAAGTACTTCGATGTGTATTCCTCCAAACAAGGATATTCTCTTACATAACCACAAACCACCATCAAAATCAGAAAATCAGTACTGCCATGTGACCACTGTTTCATCTTTAGGCTTCCAGCCTGTTTCCGCAACAAGGTCTGATGCCTGGATCCAGCAAAAGGATTCAGACCCCAGTCACAGAGCTTTTAGTTGTCTCATTTTCCTCAGGCTCTAGTAGGTTCTCGGTGTTCTTTGATTTTCATGACTTCCGCAGTTCTACAGGGGTTTTTAATCATTGAAAGAACCAGTGCAACCAAAAGTACACCCAATATAGTGCCTCACAACACAGCAGGAGAGCACAGGCCAGCATGGGGGGGGGGCACAGGTGCACCTCCCAGGGTCCTCACCTTAGCCCCCGAATGGCTTGTTTCTGTATCTCAAGCCATCAAGACAAACTCTGCATCTCAGAGAAGCCAAGGCACAGGTTTGCTGATGTGTTTTTTTTTTTTTTTTTAAATATCTCACTGGTCATAACCAAAGCCAGTCTACATAACCAGGCAAGCCAGGTAGAAACCATAGGTGTGATTCTAATAAAAGATGTAGACAGCTGGTAAAGGCAGCCTCCAGGGGAGAATCAGGCCCTGACCGAACATTATAAATTACTAGCCAGTACTGTTAGCTCACCCCTGTCTTGACAGATGGTCAAAGTCATGGCTCCATCTTTAGAGATGAGCTCAGATGCACCACAGCTTTGAAGATCACAGATCAGTTCTTCTCTGGGGTTCCTTTTGGTTGGGGTTTGCTGATCTTACAGGTTACCCTGTATTCATTTCAGGTAGGAGCACCTAATAGTGATGCCCTAACCCTCCTCCACAGATGCCCTCTGCCCAGCCACAGGCTCTGACTCCTCTCCATATGGAGCTGTCCCCTGTGGGAACATCCTTCTCTCCCACTCGGCTTCTGACACCCCAGGCCAGGCCACCTATATGTGTAGACGTCCTCCTCATCTTGCCCCAGGTCTGATGCCTGTTCCTGGTCACACCCCTCACCTGGTCAACCCATGAACTGCTTAATCTCTGGTTCTCCATACCAGGACACTGTCCTTTCTAGCTCTGACACCTGAGGCCAGGCCACTCCTGCATGTGGATACCACCTTGTTTTACCCCTTGTCATAGTTTTGGTTTTGTTCAGGAAAAGATGGGAAGAAGAAATGCTTTGCACATACAAATACACACAAAATAATAATAATAATAATAATAATAATAATTCAATATAATCAGTGTTTATTTTTTTAAAAAATTAGCTGTAGATGAACACATTATCTTTATTTTGATTATTATTATATTTTTTATGTGGTGCCGAGGATCGAACCCAGTCCCTCCATACGCTAGGCGAGTGCTCTACCACTGAGCCACAACCCCAACCCAGTATTTGAATATATTTTTGATGATACAGGTTGTCATTCTCGTAAAGAACTGAGGGACAATCCCCTTTCTTCTGCCACTCCCCAAAATCATGCCCTTCTAGAGTCCTCTTGTCCTCACAGCTTTTCCTTGGGATTAGACCAGGCACCACAGTGCCCACAGTAAATTAGCCACACCCAGCACCTGTTTGCATGTGAGCTTCTGCAGAAAAAATTTAAATCAGAAGTCTATTAAAGTGGAAATAGGCACAGGGCTTATTGAGCAATCAGAACACAAAAATGGGCCTCCGTCTCAAGGAAGCCAAGCCCTGCCCCTGGGTAGATACTGGCAGAAGCATGTCCAGATGGAGCTGCACCCCAGGCAGATTAGTGACCAAAGCCAGGACATCTCTGAAGAGCTCTGCAGGCTGAGGATTGTACCTGGGATTTGATTCAGGCTTTTTGAAATCTTATTTGATTATTAGCCAATGAGTTCCTGCCATGTGTCAGACACAAAGCTAAGTATGGACTGAAGAGGGAGAAAACAGATGCCATCTCTACCCTCTTGGTGCTCACAGAGCAAGGGAGACAGAGAGGGAAAATACACACAAATAAACACACACAAATACATGTGGGATTAAGAGAGACCATGCAGTGGAGAAGGAGGAGGGGTCAGCCAGGCTGGGAAGGGAAGTATGTCCTTGGAGGAAGGAACAGCCTATGAAATCTCCCTGAGTCCCAGAGTGCCTGGCTTGCAAGGTGGGGCAGGAGGTGGTGGCAGAGCCAACCTTAGAGGACATGTTGAGAATTTAGGCTTTTGAGCTGGTGGAGAAACTGCTGTGGGCAGGGCTTGGAGGAAGGAATCTGTATGTCTGAGTGACAATTTTTTTTCTTTTTTGTTATGCTAATCCAACTGGAGGCATCACACAGGAGAGGCAAGGAGCTATATTTTTAAAAGAGCTTTCTGTCTGGTTGGCATTATCATTCTCAGTCCAAACAGGGTCTCAGTCTCTGCTCTAGGCATTTCTGGCCATTGCTGCAGAACAGTGTTGCTCAACTTTTTTCAGGTGATTCATTAGGGTCATGACTCCTCATGTTGGAGCAAGCACACGGAAGAACAGCTGACTGACCATGTTTTAGAAGTTCTTTCATGTAAAACTTGCACATTCACAAAGGAGGAAATGCAAATAGGAAGTAAACTGAATGAAAATATGCATCTCAGTCAGAATCAAAGAAATGCAAATTGTAAAGCTACTGGGGCAGCTACAGGGGTGCAGCTCAGTGGGTCAGCACTTGCCTGGCAAATGTGAGCCCAGAGGTTCCAGCTTCAGCGCTGGAAGGAAAAGGAGAAGAAGGGGGTGTGATAGTTTTTAAATATTCAGTAAGGAAAGATTTTAAAGCCCAATGGTAATAGTTAATGCAAGAGCCTGTGTGAGCAAGGGATCTTTCTGGAAACTTCTTTGACACAACTGATCATGAGCTGTAAACATTTTTGTATTTTTCTAAGTAGCAGTGACATTTCAAGGAATTTGTCCTAAGGAAATAAGCTGACATGTGGTCACAGTTTATACATAAAACATATCCAGAGCTGGAGTTGTGGCTCAGTGGTGGAATGCTTGCCTAGCATGTGTAAGGCATGCTATTTGAGTCTCAGCACTGCATATAAAAAAATATATATAAATTTCCAAAACACCCAATAACTTAAAGTTCTAGTACACCATACAGAGAGTTATGTTATGAAGAGTCTGAAGTGGTAGACTGGGGATGTGGTTCAGCGGTAGAGCACATGTCTAGCATGTGCGAGACCCTTGGTTCCATCCCCATTACTGGGGGAAAAAAAAGTTTCAAATGGCATGAGCAACTGACAAGGTGACTTACACCTGTAATCCCAATGACTTGGGAGACTGAAGTAGGAGGATTGGGAGAAGGAGGCCAGCCCAGGCAACTTAGTTAGATCCTGTCTCAAAGTAAAAAATAAAAAGGGCTGGAGATGCAGCTTGTGGTAGGGCGCCCCCATGTGCCATCCGCAGTACTGCAAAAAAAAAATGTACTGCCATGGGGATAGTTACAAATACAGATAAGCAGCATGTTTAAGTTATTTATATTTTCTTAATTATCTCATGAAATAGACTTGGAAGGGAGAAGAAATATGTTAACATTGTTGTAGTAATTGCCTCAACGTAAGGGTGATGGCTTATGTTTTAAAAGTTAGGGTTTTTGTTGCTGTTTGGTTTTGTTTTTTGTAGTGCTGGGGATGGAACCCAGGGCCTCATGGTGCTAGTCAAAAGCTACCACTGAGCCACATCCCCAGAAAAAAAAAATTAAAAATGACCTCCAAATGACCTCTGTGGAGCAGATTTTCTTTGGCTCTCACGGGGAAGAGCAAATGAACACGAGCTGAATCAGCCCAAGGACAGAGAAAGAGCACTAGAAGGTTCACATGGCAGGACTAAAATATAGGGTAGTAGGAAGAGAGGAAGGGAGCTGCTACGTGAATAAATCATCGTGATGAATGAAATCGAAACCAAATATTAACGATAATGAATTTAAACTCCTGAACCAAACGACCGAAATAGGAGAGTTCAAAGTTAAGAATAAAAACTGGGATGAAATGGTTGGGTCACTGAAAAAGTACAGAACTTGCTAAAAGTAGGCAAAGAAATGGGCGAGACAGGCAAAGGATTCAACGAGATGACAGGAGTTTCCATTTATCTTTGAACAGAATGAAAGAAGCCCCTTCCAAGAAGGAGGCAGAAGAGAAAAGCGAGGAAATCGCCCTTCAGCAGCTGGGAACTTCTCCTCTCAAAGAAACCATCTAGGCTGCCCGGAGCCTGGCGCCGGCTGGCAACAGCTCACCCCTGTCCAGACCCGCCCTGGGGCTTCTCTTGGGGGCACCAGGGGCTGTGGTGCCGACTCCAGGCAAGGTCTACCAGAGGTCAGCATGGCCCTGCACTCAGCCACCCAGGAACTGGCTTTACAAATACACAGGGACTCCACTTCCCAAGGACCAAAAGAGAGATTGGTCTCTGTAGCAATAAAAGACCTATTTTCCTTTGCCATTCCCAAATCTGCCCCTTCTGTGTCTCTGTTTACTGTGGTCCTACCTGAGAATGCAGTGTTTATTGCAGAGTTCGTGTGACATTCCTGTCACGGGGTTGTTCCTGGAATAGCCCCGCTTAACCTAGAGAATTGTCCAGAACTCTGCTGCACTCATTTGGAGAGAATAAACACTCCCGCCCCCTGATGGGATGACTACCAGTGATGTCTCCACGGGCCGGACTTGGACCTTTGTGCTACCTTTGTGTCCCCAGGAGCCCCTCCCAGTGTGCCCTGCAGATGGCACAAGGAATAGTGGAGTAAATGTTGAAGCAGACTCCGCTGCTCCTCTGCATCCCTAGCAATACCACCCTGCAGTCACGGGATCTGGTTCTTCTTACAGAGGGTAGAATCCTGGGTATGGCCAGCATCCTCCTGACCTCAGATCCATTTCCCATCCATATGTTGGACGGGTGTCTCTATCCCCGGCCTTGACCTTCACTGGAATTCAGAAGAGCTTCAAAGGAGATTCTAATCTTGGCCCATAGGGTGGCCTGGGCCAAAATTTCTTGTCTTATCCTTTCCTCCTGGAGTTGCCATAGAATCAAATGGGATCAGTGTTCAGACTCCCACAGCCCAAGGACATACACCGCGTAGGAAAGAAGCAGGAAGGCCACAGTTTGGGCAAGAGCCATTACAACCAGCTACTTCACCAGGATCAGTCCCTCAGCAAGTTAGATCTTTTGTGTGTGTGTGTGTGTGTGTGTGTGTGTGTGTGATTGTGATGCTGGGGATTGAACCCAGGGCCTTGTGCATGCAAGGCAAGCACTCTACCAACTGAGCTACATCCCCAGCCCAGCAGGTGAGAACTTGCAAGAGAATTTGAATAAGACTCCCCACCAAATTGTACCAAGCCCCTGGCACTGATGTACCAAATCCTCAGTTCCTCCCATGGATCTAACCTCCTCTGGAAATTTCAGGGAACATGTCAATAATCAGTGTCTCCGTTTTCCTATTTGAGTTGTTCTTAACCCTGAGCAAATCAGTAAATTAAAAGAGGCAGAGGGCTGCTCTTCCTGGCCATAGTGTGGGACTCACCTCAGGGATCACCCCTTCCGGGCAGCTGTCCCTCCCCTGCCTGCTTCTGGGTTCCCATCATGCCCTCTGTACAGTCTCCTGGATGCTCTATTCCTACTTTGTTGTAATGGACCCACTTACATGTGGCTCCTCAAGGCAGGAAATAATCTTTGCTTGACCTGCACACAGTAGGTGCTCAGTTCACGTTTTGCAGTAGCAGATGTAACAGTCATGAGTTGGGGGAGACTTGTAACTGCCAAATACTGAGGGAGGAGGCAGAAAAACTAGACAGAGGCCCAGGTAGCAGGATCTGCATGTGTTTAAAACAAGTCTGTTGCCAGGTACAGTGGGGCACACCTGTCATCCTAGCTACCTAGGAGCTGAGGCAGGGGGGTCACGAGTTGGAGGGCAGCCTGGGCAACCTACCAAGACCCTATCCCCCAAAATATAAAAAGTGCTGAGGGTGTAGCTCAGTGGTAGAGTGTCCCTGGGTTCAATCCCAATTGCAAAGACAGAAAGAATGGAAGGAAGGAAGGAAGGAAGGAAGGAAGGAAGGAAGGAAGGAAATCTGTCATAAACACCACTTTATTTTTATTTGTAAAGACATCTGGAAGAGGGCTGGGGTTGTGGCTTAGCAGTGGAGCACTCGCCTAGCACGTGCGAGGCCCTGGGTTCAATCCTCAGCACCACATAAAAATAAATAAATAAATAAAGGTATTAAAAAAAAAAAAAAAAGACATCTGGAAGAGTAGTTCTCAATCCTGGAATCTCCTGTGAGCTTTTAAAGCAATCCCACTCCTTGGGATTCTGATATTCTTTGCTGGGGCTGGGACTCAGGATGAGAAGCCCTGGTCTAGAAACAGCTTTCCTAACCAGCGAGAGGAGGCGACAACCCAGCAGATAAGGATAACTATAACATGACTGAAACTCCTAGTTAATGGGCTAGTTACTGTGAGGTTAGAAAGCAAATTTAATTTCTGTGTTAGTCTGTCTTTTGTTACTGGGACCAAAATACCTAATAAGGACAACTAGGAGGAAAACAGTTTATTTTGGCTCATGGTATCAGAGGTTTAGTCCCTGGTGGGCAGGTTCCATTGCTCTGAGCCCAAGGAGGGACAGAACATCCTAGCGGACAGGCATGGCGAGGAGCGCTGCTCAGTTCACGGCAGCCAGGAAGCAGAGGACTTTGCAAGTAGCAGACGGCAGGGAGGCAGTGGAGGGACCTGACCCGGGTGCTTCTGTGGCTGTGGCCCTGCTTGCTGGACTGGGAGTTACGGGTATGGAGGATGACGATCACGGCATTTGACTGCCCCTGAGGTGAACCTGGCGCGGTCCACACTTCAGGGAGGGAAGATGCTTCCGACTGCTGAGCCTCCTGGGGACAAGACTGGCAGACAGGGTGGACAAGACACGGGAAGACGGGGAAAAGGCGCAGCCGTGGGGTCAGGAGCTGGCCCTTGGCATCCTGGAGAAGGGACCCCTCTCGTCTCTCAGGACCTGTCCACAGGGCACCTGGTGAGTGTGACAGACCACGGGCACCCTCATCCTGACCGTGAACCAGTGAAGACTCTTCATCAGAAACTGCCCAGTGGCCAGTTTCTGGTGTGGCCCACTTTTGTCATAGACTTGTGGTCTACTGGAAGTGAGCTCAATGGCAGGGTGGCCTCCCTGTGAGATGACAGCACAAGGTTCACGTTCAGGACGTAGGTTCTGTCCCTTTGGTGTCTTTTTCCAGGGGCTGATTGTTCTCAACACTGCAGCACAGGTCGTGACGGACAGTCACGAGGCCTGGACTCCCATCAGGTCAGGCAGGGCGGGGGACATGGATGGATTCAGCTTGACCTGACGCAGCCATCTGGAATCGCAGCCACCGTGACGGACCCTGAGTAAGTGGCCCTGGCCTGTCTTCTGGTCAACACAGGAATGTGCCTGATGTCTTGGGTGTTGGCTTGAGGTAAACCAGGTACATTCCAGCTTGGATGAAGTCACTTTTGTCCTGATTACTGTATAAGCCCCGTCCCTCTGACCCAAATCACAAGAATCCACCCGTCTCGCCACCACCCATGGCCACTCTTCTGTCAGCAAGTCCCTAGTAAACGGCGTTCTGTGTCATCCTGGATCTGTCTCTTTCTTCAGTCTCTTGGCGTCTTGAAGTTGGTTCTTTTACCCTGGATTTTTCCAGAACAGTGTGCACGGCTGCTGACACCTCTTGCCGCATGATTTGATAATGGCCTCACTGGCTTGGCTCTGGAGAGGAAGCCCGTCTGCATGGGCTTGATCGGCCTCCTACAAGTCAGCGGTGGCCATTATCACCTGACGTTACCTAGATGTGGTGCAAGTTCCTATCAGTAGGAGTGACCAGGGCACTGAGGGGGTAGCTGAGACCCCTCAGCTGGAAACAGGAAAACTGTTGGGGTGGGGCTTTAGGGGATGTGTCCCCATGGCACCTGGTGACCTGGCAGGTATCCACACAGGCCACGTGGGCCACGTAGGTGAAGTCTTGAGCCACAGCTCATCTGAGCTTTGGTAGGACCCTGTGATGCCCTGGGCCAACCACCACAGGAAGGGAGGCCCATGGCGACTGTGGGCCGGCTCCCGCTCACCCCCTTTCTCCCCAGACGCTGTCCAGAGCGGGTTGCGCACTGGCTCTGGTTCTGATGAAGCCTGAGGCTTTCTGCCCCCTCCTCAGGGTGGACTATGAAGGTGCTCAGCCGCATCTAGAGTGGGCTGTTCTGACATCATCAGGCCCTCCCTTTTTGGTCTGTGGAGCAAGGACCTCAGAAGGCTGGTCTTTGGCTTCTTCTCCTTTTTTTTTTTTTTTTTTAGATAACAAACCCTAAACCTAAAAGTGGCTTATTTGTGTCTCCACAAGTCAAATCAGTCAAGCTTTGACCTTGACCTGCCCTTGTCTTGTCTGTGAACTTGACAGAGACTTACAATTTCCCCTCCCCTTCGAACCAAGGGTGAGCCAGAGAAGCTGGAATTTTCTAATTTGGGGGTTGCTTATACAACTTGAAGGGTGCCCGTAACCTGGGAATGATGGCAGATTCATGGAACCTCAATATTTAATTGGTTACTGACTTACGAAATTAAGACTCAAGGAATATACCTTGAAAGCTTCCATTGAAAGAGTTCACGTGAAAAGTTTAGTCCCCCCAAAATATTCACAGATAGAGGACAGCTTACTTCCTGGTGGAAAGCAAGTAAGATGCCCATGGGCTCTTTCCCAAGAACTCAGTAGAAGAATGAAGCAAGAGAATAGATATTTTATATATAATATAAATTATATATATTATATAAATTTATATATATATATTTTATAAAATATATTATATATATTATATAATATAATATATTATATTATATATATAATTTTTTTTTTGGTGGTCCTGGGTATCAAACCCAGGGCCTAGGCCATGCTAGGCAAACACTCTGCCTTTGAGCTCCACTTCCAGTAGAACACAAGTCCATGACAAAAGCGGGCCACACCCTGTGATATCACTGGACCCACATCTGTATTCTGAACAGGCTCTTCTGTGACTCTCACATTCTGAATCGTGAAGAGTCTCGCCAAGGAGCTGCTGTGGCACCTGCAGGCCCCGAGTAAGCCTGGCCGGCTCTTCCGATGGGAAAGGCAACCGTGGGACTGTTTTATGGAAGATGAGGGGCTGGAGGTGCAGCTGGTTGGTGGAGCACTTGCCTGGCGTGTCTGAGTCCCTGGGCTCATCTTTTTTCATTAGATCTTATTTACACACGACAGTAGAATGTGTGCTGGTTTTAAGCCCTTTGGGTGTATGCTGAGGAGTGGGATAGCAGGGTCAGATGGTG